TAGCTAATGGTTCCATCATCTGAGAATATTCTTCAAGGAATTCCATATCATTTTTATTAAATCGTACAATATCAATCTCATCACACAATCTAAATAATTTTGATGAATTTAATTTGGATATCTTCAAAAAAAAATTTACTGAGTCATATGTTGAATTCCATCTTGTTTCTGTTGGAGTGACAAGGTATACTCCAAAACAACTTTTTATAACATCAGCAATTTTAGTAGATCGGTTTTGCTTATTCCAAAGATTAGTTAATTTCGCAAAGGTTGTTCTGCTCTGCTGCTTATACTTCCACAGAGGCGATACTGCATTTTTTACACCAGAAATAGCTTTTTGAATATCCTGTAATTTGTAAGTTGATAATAATATATAATATGAATCTAAAATTTAAAAATATTACAAAATAAATAAAATTCTCTTACATTAGTAGCGATTAAATTGAGAGTATGTGCTGCACATCTATGATGTTTTGGCAAAATATATACTTCATCCTCTGTGTCTTCCAATACTTCAGCAATATTTAAATGAGATATATCTTGAAAATCATTATCTTCATCTTCATTTGTAACAGTACAATTATCCAAATCATCCACATCATCAGGAATGAAGGTGATGTATGGCATCGTGGCTGTGTTATTATCTAGCTGTGTAACATTCAAGGCATTGGTATCATCGTCATTCGCCCCAAATACTCTAAAAATTTAAAAATAAATTAATTTGATTGAAACATAAATTACCTATTAATTTTAGATGTAAAATTATTGATTAAAACATAATAATTTAGGTTAGAAAGTATTAATTGAAACTAATGAAAGTTGAGAAAAATATTTTCACAACCTCATAGCCCATAGGTACAACTATAGGTAGGTATAATTGTATAAACTATAAAAGAAAACCTAGGAAAAMTAATGATGTCTACCCTTTTTCGCATTAAAACTCAATTAAACATTAATAAAATATTTACCTAAAGCTTTTAACAAAATTGCTGCCATTATCTGTTGTTGTATATAAAATTTTGTTATTTATGTTAAATAATGTATAGACAGATTCCATAGATCTGGCTAATATCTCATAAGTGTGACTTCCTATCAATCGCTTAATAGATAATAAGTAAGATTTGCGTTCGAGACTTCCTTCTTCAATCCAATGAACAGTTATTCCCAAATAAGATCTAAATAAATTAATGACAGATATTATTAAATAATGA